GTTCTTTGCTGCATTTTGAGGGGGCAAAAGCTCAGACCCTGGGAAAAGATCCATGTCTTGTCCTAAAGCTGGTTATTATGAAAAACCTAAGGAGACACCTCAGTGGGTAAAGTGCCTGCCCTCCAAGCCTGAGGACCCGAGTAAGAGTCCCCATTACCCATGTAAAAAGCCTGGCACAACAATGTACTCCTACAACCACAGCACTGAGAGGCCTCTAGAGACAGGAGCATCTTTGGGCTCCATGACCAGTCAGCCTTCCCAAATCAGTGAGCTCTGGTCCAGTGAGAGAGCCTGTCTCAAAACATAAAGTAGAGAGAAACTTAGGAAGATGACCCAAGGTCAACCTCTGTCTGGCCTCCACACACCTACACACACATACACACACACACACACACACACACACACACACACACACACACACACACACAAAGATATAGCATGCCCACCCCTGCCACACGAGGGAGGTGCCAGAGCCATGAGGGCCTCCAGTGGCCAGGTCAGTATGTGAATTTGGAAGTCTAGATGAACAAGACCTCAAGGGTGCCCTGGTTGAACCAGAACCCTCAAGGCAGGCGGTGACAAGGCCAGCCCCCAGACACAGATGCAGCTGCTAACAGCAGCCCAGGCTATCGCACATCAACCACCCCACCCCCTTGCACAGTGGGACACACTGGCTTCTACCCAAGCAAGTCTCCAGATCACCAGAATGTATGTTGTAGAAATGGGGCCTCTGTCCTTTCAGCCAGGCACACCAGGTGCTGCCTCACCACCACCTTCATCACCAACAGGCTCACAGCTGAATGACTCACAGTTACTGATTCCCCATGCCTCAGTTTCCCAAGTAAGTTGAATGGCCCACCTGCACCCTCAACAGAGGGGTGCTATTTGGAATAAAGGCCTTTACAAATACAAGGTAAGGACCCAGGGATGAGGCCACCTGGGCGAGAGGATCATTGATATGACTTTTGTAGGAGGTGGAGGGGACAGGCTTTCATGTGGCCCAAGCTGGACTCAAACTCACTATGTAGCTGAGGATGACCTTGAACTTCTTTTTAAATTTATTTTTATTTTCTGTTTTGCCTGTATGTATGTAAGTGCACCTGTGCATGCAATGCCAGAGGAGGCCAGAAGAGGGTGTCAGAACCCCTGGAACTGGAGTTTCAGATGGTTGTTAGCCTCCATATGGGTGCTGGGAATTGAACCCAAGTCCTTTGTAAGAATAAGCAGTGCTCTTTTTTTCATATCACATTTTTTATTTGTACACACACCACACATACATGGTCTGTCTGTCTATCTGTCTGAGCACCTGCATATCTGAGGTCAGAGAACCCCTTGCAGGACTCAGTTCTTCTCCAGGGGATTGAACTCAAGTCCTCAGACTTGGTGGCAAGCCCCTTTACTTGCTAAGCCATCTCACTGGCCCAGGTCTTGAACTTCTGATCCTCTTGCCATCATCCTCAGTGCTAGGATTCCAGGCATCATATCCAATGTATGAGGTGCTGGGGATCAAACCCTGGGCTTCATGCATGCTAGGCAAGCCCTCTCTACTAACTGAGCCACATCCCCAGCCAATGAATCCTTGTCTGACAGGAAGTAGCAGCTGCTGTAGCAGGCAGGAGAAACCAACTCCACACCAAGGTGCCACAGGGATCTTCCCCAGAGCATTTGGAGGGAATGTGGTATGCCCCACACTGTGATCTTGGATTTCTGGCTCAAGAAATAACAAGTTATGTGTTCTGTTGTCAGCCAACAGTGACAGGCGCTCATCCAGTCTGGCAAACAGAAAACTGCTCCACACAGATTGTTGGAAGGATTAGAGGAAACTGTAAGCAATGTTCTTGGCACAGTAATAGTCCCTTAGAGTCAGGCAGCTGTTCGTTCAGCAGATGCCGTTTGTGCCAGTCGTGGTGGCACATGCCTATAATCCCAGCACTCAGGAGGTGGAGGCAAGAGAATCAGAAGTTCAAGGTCATCCTTGGCTACACAGTGAGAATCAGAAGTTCAAGGTCATCCTCAGCTACACAGTGAGGATCAGAAGTTCAAGGTCATCCTCAGCTACATAGTGAGTTGGAGGCCAGCACTTGCTGCTCTGGCAGAGGACTGGGGTTCTGGTCCCTGCACCTGCATCACAGCTAACAGTTGTCAGTAACTCCAGTTCTAGGGAATCTAATGCCCTCTTCTGGCCTCTGTGGGTATTGCACACGTGTGGCATACTTGCATGCAGGCAAAACACTTATACACATAAAATAAAAACAAATAAATTCAGAAAACATTTTTAATGGGGTAGAGAGGCAGAGCCTAGGCCTCCTTCAATCCAGAGGGGGTTCCCTATCTATGCCTCAGTTTCACCATGGACCCCCATCCTACCAGCTGGAGAGGGGCCTGCCCTTCTCCTTGATGCTTCTGGGGCACCCATTTTCTGGGCACCTCTATGGAAGGCCAAGTCATGGAACCCCAGCCCTCTGCACCTCCAGTCTCCACCCTGTCCTGGGGTAGCTGAGACCCGGCCTCAGGCCTGTGAGAGGAACAGAAACCACTGGGCATGAGAAGGAGCTTGCTTTAGTGATGGAGACTCACAGGTTCCCAAACAGGCCCAGCCGGCCCTGGCCAGGGTCCAGCCACCAGCTCCCAGCCTGTGAGGCCACCCTGTGAGCAGCCTAATTAATATTCACACTGGGTCCCCTGGCTCTGAAATCCCTTGTTCCCCCCAGACACCAGCCAGGCTTGGGGAGTGGGGTCTGAATGGAAAGTTACCCGCCAATGAACAGTGAAGGCCTTACACTGGAGGACACAAGGCAGGGAGCTGCTTATGATAAGATGAAGGGAGGTCCCTGGGGCTCCCCAGGGCTAGGCCAAAGCTGGGGTGTCGGGAGAGGCTTGGGTATTCAGACAAGGCTCTCTCTCTCTCTCTCTCTCTCTCTCTCTCTCTCTCTCTCTCTCTCTCCTTTTCCATCTCCATCTGCTTATCTCCTCCTGGGTCTGATCTCTCTCTCACGCCTCCACCCTCCCCTCCCATTTTGTGCACAGGGGTGGGGAGAAAGCCCACCTGTTGCTTCCCAAACAGTAAGAGTACATTCCAGACACAGGAGGATGCTAGGCAGGGTCCCCATGCCCACCCCACACCCAGCAGCATCTGTCCCTGTTGGGGTTCTCCTTGACTCGCAGATGTCTGGAGATGGCCCTGCGGTCCCTGCATTGGGCCCCCCAACAGCAAAATAGCATCATCATCCTGGGTGCAGGATGAGGGTTGTCCCAGCCACCAGTACCCTCATCCATCCCAGGGCCACATCCCACAGTTCCTGGCAGGCTAGAGTGGGGCAGTGCTGGTTGACCAAGGCTCTCAGGACTGAGCTGTGTCCTATGCAACTGGACAGTCAGAGCTGCTAACCCTCCAGCCACTGTAAGATATGACTGTCAGGTGGATAGGCTCCATAGGTGGAGGGGCCATGAGCACCCAGCACCCCCAGGGATTCTGACTCCCTGGAAACCTCCTTATATGTGTGGTTTTTGTTTGTTTTATTTTTTGAGACAGGGTCTTCCTGTAGCCTCAGCTGCCCTGGAGCTCACTATGTAGATCAGGCTGGCCTTGAGCTCACAGAAATCCACCTGCCTCTGCCTCCCGAGTGCTGGGATTAAAGGTGTGCACACCACACCTGGCTTTGTTCCTACAAATTTCAGGTTCATCAGTGGTATTCATGGGTGTCTCAAAGGCTCCATCATCCTGGGTGCCCAGAGCAGGGTACAGGATGAGGGTTGTCTCAGCCACCAGTCCCCTCATCAGGGGTGCCAATTGGCCCATGTGTGCCAGTTGGCCCATGGGCCACCCAAGGCCCCATCCCCAGCTCTGGATGCCCCTCTGCACGGGGAGACCCTGCCCCCATCCATTTGTAGGTAAGGAGGGTCAACCCAGACAGGCACAGAGTCTAGTGGGAGTGGGCATTAGTGAGGGGACCCCTAGAGCAGTAGATTGTCCTGGACAAGTCCACGAAGAGCCAGGGCCCTGGCCATGCCCATCCCTGTAGCACCAGGCCCCAGCAGCTTTGTCCAAACAGGCAGGCAGCATGGGGGTAGCCTACCCTCTAAACTCCAGTCTGAGAAGGTGCTAGAAAGGGGGTCTTAAGCGGAGATGGAGTCATTTGAAATGGAAGGACATCATGAGCCAGTCTGTGGCAGTCCACATGTCCAGAGCAGAGTGGGATGAGGAGGACCCTCCCTCCCAGAGTGCTCGGAGAGACCATAGGAACTAACCACAGAACCCATGCTGTGTCATGCCTTGGGCCTGGGGCTCTCTCGGGCTCAAGGCACCTGGAAGGTGTGGTCTCCAAGACAGCCTTGCACCCCACACAGATGAAAAAGCTGGGTGAAGGCCATGAGGATGGAGACTCTGTAACACCTGAAGGGCAGAGTACTATTGCTAGAACCTTCTCAGTGTTTCACACTGTAGAAGTTCTGTGCCAAGCAGACCCTTCTGTACCTCACCACAAGCCCACAATCATCATGGGGCATCTGATTGACCTCAGGCACGCTGCTCACTGCCCAGCCCTGACCAGCTCTGCTTTATCTCACCCCTTTGAGAACCCATGCCCCACATGACAAGTCCATCAAATATCCCCCACTCTCTTTGGAAAGCCCCATCTTGTTCCTGGAGCTTCCCAGCTCCCTGGTCACCCAGCCCACCCCATTCAATTTCACCAGCTCCATCTGTCCCAATCATGCACCCTCTCATCCCACATGGCCCCTCTGGATGGAGTGGCTCTCCTGGCACCCCTGCTTTAGGAAGCTAGGAACCTGGAATAAGGTCCAACTTCACTGTGGCCTCTTTACCCACCTCCCTCTTCCCCAGCTTGCTTTATTCCTCTCAGTCTCTGAGCCTTCGACCCACAGCACCATCCTCCTCTCCTCTGCCTGACTGACTCCCATCCCACAATTAAGCATCAGGCCCAGCAGCCTCCTCCTCCCAGAAGCCCTACAGTCATGCACTTCCCCAGACTCATAATTACCTGGTCAGTGGCTGTCTTTGGCCAGGAACTGCAGGGGGGCGGGGCAGTGACCACCAGCCACCTTGGTCCAGTCCCTCAGCAACTAGGGAAACCCAGCCTGCAACGTGTATATCTGTGTCACTCACATACTCGAATCTCTGTGCACACCCAGCATCCCTGCCATGCAGCCATCATGCTCAGAGCCCACGCACATGGACACAGCTCCCTCCTCTGACATGCACATGCATGCACAAGAGCCCACACGCTCCGATTACCTCGGACATGCACCACACCAGCAGCCACGTGCCCACCCAAGCCCTTGCTCACCATACACATGCCACACATGGCCAGGCGTGCTCGCTCATGTCACTCCAAATGGGCGCTGGGAGCTGGGTAGCGGGAGCGGCTGCTGGCTGCCTCTGCCTGCCAGCATTTGCCAAGCAGTTTCCATGGCGACACATCTTGGCTCTGACAGGAACTGATGTGTGTGGGGAAGAAGGACCCCACAGAGGGGGCAAGATGGAAAGTCTCTGTGTCCCTCAGCTTCAGGCACACATGGTATGGGGGATGCCCCACAAGTGGAGATACTCTCCTCCCCAAATTAGGCTTGAATCCCAAAGAGGTTCTGGTCCAGTAGCAGACTTATATCATTTAGCCATTCAACAAACCTCCTGTCACAGCCACTCTGTGCCCACGACTGGGGCTGAAGTGTTTCCCATGAATTGAGCTTCCCAGAGGCTCAAGGTCTGAGGCTGACTCGATTTCCCCAAAACCCTCCGAAGGCCCCATTCTAGAAGGTTAATCAGCAGCCCTCTGAGCTTCAAGACACTGTTGCCAATCTTCTCTGAGGTTAGAGATGGGGATAGGATACTAGGCACCCCTTGGTAAATAATTCCCTAAGAACCCCACCTCTCTACCTGTCCCTGAGTCACCACATTCTCTGTCCAGCGTCTAGCAGAAGTGGAGTCTTCCCCATCCTTCCGTCTTAAGCCTATCCCTTGGTTCACTTTGGTAAATTGAAAATGACAGACATAAGACTGGAGAAATGGTTCAGTTGATGAACCGTTTCCCATACAAGCATGAAGACCTGAGTTCAGTCCTTAGCACCCATGTAAAACAGCCAGGCACAGCAGTATGCTCCTGTGACCCCAGGGCTGAAGACGTGGAGACAGATCCCTGGGGCTCACTGACCAGTCAGCCTAGCTTAACTGATGCGCTCCAGGTTCAGTGAAAACCCTGTCTCCAAAAATTAGGTGGTTATGGGGCTGGAGAGATGGCTCAGCAGTTAACAGAACTGGCTGTTCTTGCAGAGGACCTGGGTTCAATTCCCAGCACCACATGGAGACTAACAACCATCCATAACTCCAGTTCCAGGGGATCCAAGGGTCTCTCTTCTGACCTCCACAGGCACTGCACGAGTGGGTGCACTTACACACATGCAGGCAATACACTCATACACATAGAGTAAAAATAATAAAGAAAAGTTTTTTTTAAGTTTTTTAATTAAAAATAAAATGAGATCATTAGTCAGGCATGGTGGTACACACTTTTAATCCCAGCACTGGAGAGACAATAGTTGGTGGATCTCCATGAGATAGAGGCCAGTTTGGTCTACATAGCAAGTTCCAGGCCAGCTGGGGCTATAGGGAGACCTGTCTCAAAAGACAATAAATAATACAATAATAAAATAATAATAATGGCTAGAGAGATGGCTCAGCAGTTAAGAGCACTTTCTATGCTTGCAAAGGATGGGAGTTTTGTTCCCAGCACCCATGTTGGACAGCTCACAACCACCTGTAATTCCAGCACCATGGTATCCAAGACACATGACATACCACACACACACATACACACACACACACACACACACACACACAAATATAATAAAGTGGAGATTGAGAAAGACTTCTGCCACCTACAGACATGCACACACACCCATGCACACACACAGACAAGATGGCTTCTCTGACTCTATGTCAGGACCCTGGGGAAACATGCCTATGTCTACTCCCCAGACTTAGAATACAGCATAAGAGCAACCCTTCTGCCATCCTGGAGGGTGAGGGAACAGATGGGCCTTGGGTTATCCTAGCTGGAGACATCTTGCACCAGATCGCCCCAGTCAACTCACAACTTGCCAGAGTAATGTGTGACCCCAGACTGGATCAGTTACACCTGCCCTGGAGCAGCAGTGCCTCGAGGATGTCTTACTGAACCTCTGGAGATAATAAAGCTGTGACAGTTGATATGGGCTGTCGAGAGGACACAGTCTAGACCCACTTAGGAGATGAACCTCTGGGTGTGTTTGTGAGGGACTTTCTAGACTGTGTTACTGAGGAGGGCAGACCCACCCTGAATGTGGGTGGCACCATCCCCTGGGCTGAGGTCCTGGACTGAATACAAAGGAGAAAGCGAGCTGAGCACCAGCATCCATCTCTCTGCTTCCTGACTGTGGATGCCATGTGACCAGCTGCCTCACGCTCCTGCCGCCATGCCTTCCCTCCATGATGGACTGCGCCCTCTACTGTGAACCACAATAAATCCTTCCTTCCTCAAGTTGCTTTTGTCAGGTATTTTGTCACAGCAACTAGAAAAACAACCAATACACACCAGTTCAGGGCTAGTTGTCACACAGTACTACCTAAAATACATGCTAGAGTAGTCATTCAACCTCACACAGGGAGCACTTGCTAAATACCCCAGGAGCCCCCAGAGATGCTGATATCCAGGCCAGAGTGAGGGCTGGAGACACCTGGATCTTGCTGAGGGCCAGGGAGCAGGGTAGGAGGGAAGGGCTTCCCATTTCAAGTCCATGGTAGGAACTGCTGCAGCAGAAGCACAAATCTTTGTGCCTTTCTTTGCCTCACTTCACTCATCTATGAAATGGGTTGAAGGCCTGTCCTGCCTCCTGGGACCACCTAATAGGGCAATGTCTGTGAGCTGTACAGAGGCCTACTGTGTGCTAGCCTGTGCTGGAACCTGAACACAGAGAGGTTTGCAGGAGGCCACTGCCCTCTAGGAACCTCAATGTTGAGAATGCTTAGCTGACAGACAAGAGGCAGGCATGGGACCCTTGGGAGGGGACGGTGTTTGGGGAGGGATGGTGGTGCCCAGTACCCACTTGAGCCTGTGCTTTTTATTCTCTGTGTGTTTCTGTGGACACCTGCTTGGGAGAGTTTTACCTCCTGAGAGAACTGTGCCATTCAGTTTCTACTGACGTGGGATCAGTAAAACTGTCCCATCCAGGCCGGAGCTGAGCTAAGCTCCACTAGGTCCTGTGGAAGGTACGTGCATCTAAGCCATCCAGTTTCCCCTCTAAAGTGGCTTGGAAGTTCCTTCTGTCCATCCTCTCAGCTCTGTGTGCCCCTGAAGAGAGGACTTGGAGCTGGAGAGGTGGCTCAGCAGTTAAAGCACTGGCTGCTCTTAGAGAGAACCCAGGTTCAGTTCCTAGACTCCACATGGTAGCTTACAACCAGTTCTAAGGAATATGACGCCCTCTGTGAGCATTGCACACATGTGGTGCACTGACAAGTATACATACATACACAAGGCAAAACACTCATACACATAGAACAAAAACTAAAAATAAACTTTAAAAAACAGATGGTTTTATTTTCCCCTATTTTTAAAAAAGTTTTTTTTTTTTTTTTTTTTTATCCTTTTGAGACAGGATCTCCCTGTAGCACCAGGTGGCCTGGAATTCAGTATGTAGACCAGGCTGACCTTGAACTCACAGAGATCTGCCTGCCTCTGCCTCCCAGGTGCTGGGATTAAAGGCATGCCCAGCTTATTTATTTTTATTTTTTTGTATAAGAGCATTTTGCCTGCATGTATGTATGTGTGTGTCACGTGTATATAATGCCTGTGGAAGCCAGAAGAAGGCGACAGATCCCCTGGAACTAGAGTCATGAATGGTGGTCAGCTGCCATGTGGGTGCTGGGAACTGAACCTGGATCCTCTGCAAGATCAACCAGGGCTCTTAACCACTGATCCATCTCTCCAGCTCCTCTTCCCCCATTTGAAAAACAAATGTATTCTTTGACAATGTCATGATGCATATACTAAGTTCTGGTCATACTTGCCCCTCCACCCTCTTATTCTCCCACCAAGTCCCCATCCACTTTCAGGTGTTTTTGTCTTTGCTTTGTGACCTGGGTTTAACAGGACTGCTCCCATGGGCATGGGTGTGGAGCCAAGCACTAGATTGTGAATAACTCACCAGTGGTTGCATCTCTAAAGACAATGGCTTCCTCTTCCCCCAGCAACCCTTGATTGTCATTAGCTCCCCTGGGCAGGGTCCATCAGCCCTTCCTCTCTATGACTGTTTAGGGGCTCAGCCTTGAGCAGGCCCTATGCCCCTATGCAGGCAACCACAGCTGTTGTGCATTCATGAGCGCCAGGACCATGTCATGCCCATAAAACAGCACTTCATGGCACTCTGCCCTAATCTCTGGCTCTTACATGCTTTCTGCCCTCTCTTCAGCAGTGTTCCCTGAGTCTTGGAGGGATGATATGGGAGTCTCTTCTAAGACTGAGCACCCAGGGCTAGAGAGATGGCTGGGTGGTTAAGAGCACTGGCTGCTCTTGCAGAGGACCTGGTTTCAGTTCCCAGCACCCACATGACAGCCAACAATTTCCCTTAACTCCAGTTTCAAGAAATCTCATACACTCTTCTGGCCTCTGTGGGCATTGCATATATAGATGTACTTACATGTAGGCAAAACACTCATACACACAAAAGAAAGGAAGGGAGGGAGGGGAGGGGAGGAGAGGGGAGGGAAGGAGAGAAGGGGGAGTGAAGGGAGAGAAAGAAAGATTTTAAAAAGACCCAACAGTCACTTGTTCCCAGTCTCTTAACCAGCCATGAATCTCTGCCATTAACTACATTTGCTACAAAGAGAGGCTTCTTTGATCAAGGCTGAGGACAGCACTAATCTATGAGTATAAACATAAATATTTAGGAGGCTGTTTGACAATGTGCCCATTTAGCAAAACAAAAGTAGGTTCACTATAGGTACCTATGACTTCCCCTCATGGGCCTTCGACCAGGTCCATGTAAAGTATTGTAGCATGCAGTGTCTAAGGCTGGGCAGGACCACGGCTGGTTTTTCTCCCCCACTGCCTACACAGCACCTTCCAGCACTATGAAGGCTAGCCAGCATAGAAGACACTTCCAGGTCAGTTCCAGCTTGGTTTCCTCTGTGTTCTGCAATAGAGATGTGTGTCTTTTTTTTTTTAATTTTATTTTTTGTTTTTATTTTATGTGTATGCGTGTATTGCCTGCATAATAGGTAAGTGCACCCATGTCATGCGATGCCCATGGAGGACAGAAGAGACCATCAGATCCCCTGGAACTGGAGTTTCAGACAGTTGTTAGCTGCCATGTGGGTGCTGGGATTCGAACCTGGGTCT